TCAAAACAGAATGAACATAACAATATACAAATAATTTTTAACTCACAGTCTAGGCCTGTGTAGAATTTAGTACACTGAAAAAAATCTTTTTTCCATAGACTAACTTTGAATATTTACATAAATCTGTTGAAAGGGAGTTACTGAAAAAGGAATGACTTGTTTTTTGTCTCTACATTTGTTGTGAAGAATACTACCAATGCCTCACAAGGGAAATTTTAGGATGAGTTTTGCAGTTTAGTAAACAGTTATGAGCAAGAATTTGAATACAGAAAGGAAGACAAAGCTCTTAGTAGCAGTAAGTTTCACTCTGGATTGATAAATGTATGCGGAACCAAAAAGGAGACAATTTTTTTCAGTTTTCTAGATGCTGGAGCAGCACAGTATCAGGTGACTGAAAAACTGGGAATCTCTCATTACATTATTGTATTACAGTGGTACTTAAAAGCCCCAAACTAGATCAGGGACCACTGTGGTACATATTATACATCAGCATAGTAATGGAAATTTCCCTCCCTAAAGTACTTATGGTCAAAGTAGACTGATGGAGAAAAGAAAATGCTTTGCCACCTTGGAGGAATTATGCAGCTGCATGAACCTGGCAAGAGCCTTGGGAGACAGTGTGATAGGAACTAATCTTAAGAGAAACTCCACGATAACTCCTTGCTTCAGCTGCTGCTGGTGGCTTGAATGACTTCTAATTTGGGGGACTTGAAATGGTTGAGATCGGTTCCTTACCTGGGAGGGAGGTGGAGTAGTCTAGAACCTAAACTAATGCTGATAGGAAAAGGCAACACTGGACACATTTATACACACATTAATGTGCCATGGTTACCGCGCATTAAGTACCTGTAATAACAGGTACCAAGTAAATGCACAGTAACCAGCACTACTGCACAATAGTGCCGGTGCATGCCTTTTAAGTGATGGTAATGCACAGTAGATGAATTCTACTGAGAATTAGCACAATAGCATGGCTTTTGCCATGATGCACTAATGCACAGTAGAATTAGTCTACTGCACATTTAGTGTCTCATGTAGATGTGCTCACAGTTTAACAAGCATAAAAAAGGAGTTACAAGTTCACAAAGTCCGTTAGTGTCTCATTAAATTATGACAATACTAGGAGATTTATATTGCTAATTGCTGTAATTTTCATGTAGTTGATTGAAAAAGAAACCTAAAAATACCCTGTGAAAATAGCTGTACTGCTTTTAAAAGATACTGATTGCCTCTAGTGAGCTGCCAGCTGCACTGAACTCCTATTGACTTCAAGAAATGGGCGTCACCTCTCACCATGGAAAGCCACTGGATTTTCCTTTGCAAAGCTTAAACTACACAAAAATGAAACTGAACTTACCAACTTAACCTCTTATTTGGTCTCTTAGAACTTACAGAATCATAGAAAATTAGGGTTAGAAGGGATCTCAGGAGGTCATCTAGTCCAACCTCCGGGTAAAAGCAGGACTGGCCCCAACTAGATCATCCCAGCCAAGGCTTTGTCTACCTGGCTCTTAAAAACCTCCAAGGATAGAGATTCCACCACCTCTCTTGGTAGCCTGTTACAATGCTTTACTACCCTCCTCATGAGAAAGTTTTTCCTCATAGCTAACCTAAACTTCCTTTGCTGCAACTTGAGACCTGTCCTCCTTGTTCAATTATCTGCCACCAGTGAAAACAGTCTACCTCCATCCTCTTTGGAACCACCCTTCAGGTAGGTAAAAGCTGCTACTAAATCCCCTCTCAGTCTTCTCTTCTACAGACTAAATAAGCCCAGTTTCTTCAGCTTGTCCACAAGTCATGTGCCCCACCCCCCTAACCATTTTCATTGCCCTCTGCTGGACTCTCACTAATTAGTCTACATCTTTTCTGTAGTGGGGGCCCCAAACTGGACACAGTATTCCAGATATGGCCTCACCAGTGCAGAATAGAGGGGAATAATCACTTCCCTCAATCTGCTGGCAGTGCTCCTACTACTGCAGCTCAATATGCCGTTAGCTTTCTTGGCAATAAGGACATGCTGTTGGCTTATATTTAGCTTTTATTGTCCACTGTAACCCCCAGGTCCTTTTTACAGAGCTGCTATTTAGCTAGTCGATTTCATCTGTACCAGTGCATGGAATTGCTCCATCCTAAGTGCAGGACTTTACACGTGTTCTTATTGAACCTCATGAGATTTCTTTTGGTCCAATCCTCTGACTTGACGGGAAAACTACCATATTTACTCGAATAGAAAACAACTCAATAATAAGACAACACCTGAATAATTAGATTCTCTATGTGGACAATGTATAAATTGTTATAATTTTCCAGCTATAGAATCTAATTATTAGAGGTTTTCCTTGAATTTGTCCTCCTTCTACTACTACAGCAAGGAAAATGAGTCGGGGGATCAGCTAGACCCTTTACCCTGTACTCCCCACCCCCCAACTTCTTTCCTTTGTGGCCCCTTCCTTACTTTCAGACCTTTCTCTCCCTGAAAACATGGGAAAAAAAGATCAAATTTGAAAATATTGACCTAGAAATAATCATACTTCAGTACCTTGCATGTCGGGAAATTA